TCGGTTCGTTTGTGACATGAGACTACGACCCGTTACAGCTTAAAGGCTACTACTAAAATATCCCCCCACTCTAGAATTAGAAACGTCCCCATACTTAGGTCTCTAGATACCCAAAATACATGAACGCCGTTAAAAACCGGGTTGGAACAATCCGTTAAGTCACTTTTTATTAGACAGTGGAACTTTGATCCATTTCAGATGGATCAACCTAAAACTCGCCTTACCTCAACATAACAATTATAAAACACACTCTAGAATTTTAAATTAGTACTCACATTGTAGCACACTCAAGAAGGGGAAGTACTTCAGTCGGTAATTAACTCAAGAATTAAATAATGTAACTAAATGAGTTTTAATGTTTATCAGTTTCAATAACGAGGACAAGTCTTAACTCTAGGATATAGTTTCTCGTGAACCATTGGGACACTCAAGTTGTCCACCTTTCCGTCGAAGGTTCACTCTGGTCCAGCTCAAATAATCGTTCTCTCGGGAATACTCTGTCCTCTATTTCAGATGGGACAGCTCTACTCTTGTTCACTATGATGGAAATTGCGAATAGCAATTTCCTACCGATTTCTCTTGCAACTTTCCCGCGTTTTTTACTCGAACGTTCTGACTTCTCTTTTCTGATTTTCAGTTATCGCGAGAAAATCGTGCATGACAGGTTCCATTCGAAATTTTGAAAAACTAAATTTCACTCCAAAATCAAGTGTTTTTTGCTTCTCTCAAGGTCAAACTTCCGAATATGACCGACTGGCACATATGCGTCTACTAGCCGACTGCTACATCACATTTTTGAGAACGACTTCTGAACATCGAAAAATCAACTGGGCAAACGCGCAGAGCCATAACCAGCTACTATAACAACGGCCTACATAACGCGGTTTGTAAAACCAAATTCAAAGCCAGACCAACACCGAATGGCATCAAAATTTCCCGAATACAGAAAAAGCAATCCAAATTAATCATCATCAACTTCTACGCACCACACATGGGAAGAATAGTCAAAAACCCCGAAGAAGGCGAAGCATTCTACAGAGATCTCCGAAATACTGTAAAACAGTTCAAAGGCTGCGATCGTGTGGTACTTGGTGATTTCAACGCCAAATTGGGAAAGCATGACACAGGCGATTCATGCATTGGTTCACATTCAAGAGGGAAACGAAATGAGAATGGGGATCAAATGCACACCTTTATGCTAAGCGAAGGAATGATAGCAAGTAACACCTTTTTCAAGCATAAAGCCTGCCACGTCACTACTTTCGAAGCGAAAAGCATCAACATCAGAATCTTCAACCAAATCGATTTCATTCTCGTGCAAAAGAACAGGAAAAGCTCATTAACCAATGCCAGAAGTTACATCAACAATCAAGTAGATACCGACCACAGACTGGTTGTCACACGGATGCTGTACAAACTTGATTATGAGACAGGAAAGCAGAAGAAAAGAAAACCGAAGACAGTGGATACAGTCTTGGAAAGCCTCTCCAAACGACAGAAGGAATTGAGAGAAAAAATATTCCAATCGACCAATCCACACAACATTAACACATGGAAGAAAGAAAGACAACAACTACTCAACCAAATCAAGCGGAGAAATGCAGAAATCGCTGTTGAAGCTCTTCTGGATGAATCAGAGCAGATCAACAAAGCGAAGGACAGTGCACAAACAGCGCTAGCCATCAAAAAGCTGTTCAAAAAACGCAAACTGTCATCGAAAATGCCAAGCATGATCGACATGACAAAGCATTTTCGTAACACCTTCAACTGTGACGAACGAGGCCGCAACCAAAGCCATATCGCAGGAGTTATCACACCCATATCGGCAGATGAAGTGAAAACGAACAAGCACAAACTCCAAAACAAAAAAGCGCCAGGAGCTGATGGAGTTACCGCTGAAGACATCAAAAGCATGGACGACAACGCCATCACAGAACACCTCAATGAACTCATCGCCAACAAAGATCCATCCTTTGTCCACCGCATCATTGCACCAATACTCAAACCATCAAAAAATACCGCAGTAGCATCAAGTTACAGACCGATTATACTACTCTCAGCTTGGCGGAAACTGTTATCCCTCATCCTTCTGCAAAGGATTGGACCAGAGCTTGATGAGGCAACAGACAGATCCCAACATGCCTACTGTAAAGACAAGAGCACCAGCGATGTAGTTCTGGCGCACAAAATCCTCCTAGCCGCCAGTATTGAACGCGAATTTGATCCCACCATAATAGGCATTGACATGTCGAAAGCCTATGATACTGTGGACCGTAACCGTTTGCTGACGATGCTCGGTGATGAGATACAAGACGAGGGAACCTTAAACCTCGTGAAGCTATTGTTTACCGAAACTACTCTCGCAGTAAAAATTGGTAAAGAAATTGGTGCCATCTTTACCACAAACATCGGGGTCCCCCAAGGAGACTCTATTTCCCCGAAACTCTTCACCTACTATCTCGACAAAGCGATAAAAGAAGTCGACGGAAGTAGAAAAGGTACACAGTTAGATCACACATACTGCCTTCAATCTCCAGTCCTGCCGCTGCTAATGGAATATGCAGACGATGTCGATTTCATCACTGTGAAGGACATCAGCAAAGAAGAACTACTTGATGTCACGGAAAAGACCTTTGAGAAATACAAGCTTAAACTCAACAACGACAAGACGGAAGTGACGATCTTAGCCAAAACAGCAGACCTCTCCAACACCAAAAAACTTGGCTCTATTTTAGATGACCAAGCAGATATCAAACGACGCAATCAACTAGCTACCATTGCCCTGAGCAAATACCAAAAAATCTGGAAAAATCCGTATGTGAAAGTATGTAACAAGGTAAGTATTTACACGACGTATGTACGGTCCATACTAACCTACAACTGCTCAACCTGGCATGCTAACAAGGACACGAACGATAAACTTGATATTCTTCACAGAAAACACCTGAGAAGGGTACTGAACATTCATTACCCGAAAATCATTTCGAATGATGTGTTGTACGAGGTAACGAGAACTGTACCTCTTTCAGAATTTGTGACTGAGCGAAGACGCAAGCACCTGGGACACGTATTACGACGAGACACGACCATCAAGCAAATCTACGAACACGTGCAAACTCTACCCAAACGAAAAGGAAAAGGACAGAAACCAGCCAACCTATTGAAGACCTTCAGAAAGGATTTCCAGACCGAAGACGTCCACATCCTGGAAGAAAAAGCTTTCGCAAGAACATTATAACCTTAATGCGCTCTTGATATCATTCATTCATGTAAGACTGAACGCTGCTACAAACCGGACTGCTCATGTGATTGTAAATATTGTGACTCTCCAGCTGATAACTACAACCACCTGCTAGACAACTGCTCGTATCTCAAGGATCTACAAACTAGAACGCGGTTGGTGAAAACCCTTCATAGACAGTGAACATTATGGTTTTACTTTAAAACTCATTTATCTCATTTGAGGTGTTTCAATTAAACTTTTTCTCTCTCTCTCTCTCATAATGCTGATTGAATACCCGAGATCTTGGTGTCAGTATAACATCTGGTCTGTGCTGGGAATGTCTTCTACGAAATCGCCTTCAACATATGAACCACATGTTCATCCAGTTAAAGCGAGAACTCCCTTCTTCCCTGCCATTGCAGACCAAACTACAAATATATAGATCGTATTTCCTTTCCAGTTTGATGTACAGCTCTCCTGTATGGCTGCCGAATCTAGACATGTTCAGAAAGCTAGAAATGTTCCAAAAGAGGGCTACCAGATGGATTTCAAACCATTCGGGATACACGTCTCGTTTAAAGAGTTTAAGAGTTTGTCCTTTTTACCTGTGTCTTTCCAGCATCAGGTTTCAGACCTCCTCGACAAACTTACGCGTGGCCATGTAGACTATGACGCATCTAAACGGATATCTCTTCAGAGAAATTCCACCTACTCTCTGAGATCCAGAAACCTCCACCTATTTGAGGTTCCCTCAACGAGAATTAAGAAGACGGATGAGCAATTTGTAGTTCGAGCACCCCTCCTTGCAAACGCTCTAGTCAAAGAGACTGGCATATCAATTCTGGAAGAACCTGCGGTATTCAAGTCCCGCATACGCTGCTATGCCCTCACCCTTGTTGAACAATTTTCAATGACAACTTGCTCAAGGTTTTTATTTTGTATACGTGAACCCTCTAAATTAACGCGACTGTGATTTACCTCGTAAGAGTAATTTAAGTCTTTTCTATCTATCTTTATTACAATGGGTCAGAGTTTGTTTTCGATTTTCCAGTTTGAGTTCAGTGTTTTTTTCTTCGAAATGGAAATAAGACACTAAATTGTTAGATGGTGACAGGATTTCTCCAGGGGTTGCGAGTTTGGCCTCCACTTATGAATGCCTAAATCATTGCGTACGAGAACGACAATTTTTGCAGTTTTTCATGAAATTTCAGTAAACTCAAAATATATATTAATTAATAAAGTTTGAAGTTACCAACCCTGTAAGGGTGCGCTGTCAGAGAACTCCCAAGGATTGCAAATTTTGCCTCCAAATGTGACTGCTCAATTGCTTTTGTTTTACGAGATGTGAGATTTTTCATGTCTTTTTAAAGTTTTTCAAAGAACTTAGATATTAAAAAAATTCACAAAAATTTATGGTTTTCCAAATTTTGAAATAAAAAAAACTTTACAAAAATTGAAATTACCAACCTTTTAGTTGGGTACTGTCAGAGTACACACGAAGGATGCAGTTCTTATTTCCATTGTATGCGGTTTTTCTGTGAGTTGTTAAGTTTCGAAGCACCGGGGGTGCGTTACACGCTAGTTAAGATTGTTTTATCTGCTTTTTTGTCTGCTTAGTACCGCAGAAAACTTGCCTTCTTTATAGCATTTCCAAAGCTCATAGAGGGTACAGATCTTCGGCTCAACTGCTTTTCGTAAGGATCTTTCAATTTTCTCTAGCTCTGTTTCGCCTGTGTTGTTTCAATTTTCTGCTAACTCGACAAGTGATTGGTTTCAGACACTAATGCCTCATAGTAGTCAACTGCCAATTTTCTCCGCGAAGGATGAGCTTCTGAAGTACTTTTCAAAGTCCCCAACATGTGTAGTGATCGGAGAAACTGCAAGTGGAAAAACAACTCGTATTCCCGAGTTTCTCTACGAAGCGGGAATCGGATCTAGTGGCTGTATTTTATGCACACAGCCTAGGAGAGTCGCAGCAATCACTGTGGCAACTTTTATGGCTGGTGAGGTCTTTTGCTTCTTAAGTTTCAGTGAACACAGGGAAGCAGAGCGTAGTAAAAATTGCCACGTTCACATTGATTTTTGATTTAGTTTTTGTTCAATTCAAATGCGTTTGCTTAAAGGAAGGCGAATTTAGCTTTCCAAATACGAAAGGGCAAATTCTACGAAAGGGCAAATTGTGCGAAATTTGTTGAATTCAATTGCGTTTGCTTAAAGGAAGGCGAATTTAGCTTTCCAAATACGAAAGGGCAAATTGTCCACAATGGCTTAGGTTCTTACGTGAATGATTTTAGTTGATGAATGAAAGTTGCTTTAACTTAAAGGCTATCCGGCGGAATAGAAAAACTCGATTGACCCAGGTTTAATTGAGTTAGCTTCCTGGAAAAAAAATCCAATCATCAAATATCTTTGTAATTCAAAGAGCGTATTAGTGTAATGTATTGTTTTTGTCGAAAAATGAAAATTCTTCTGTTTCAGTATTTTCATGACATATTTTTATCATTCTGTTGGCTAATGTTCCTGATAAAACAATCTTTGTGATTGATATTTCTCTGCGCTGGCTGATAGTTTCCTCCGATGTGTTGTTGGTTTAGTAATTGCTCGGAAAATGCTAAAAGTTTGGTTAGTGCTAGTGGTTGTTTCTCATCCGTTTTCTGAGATTGCATTTTTCCAAAGTAATTCCTTTTTCGTCTTAATTTATTTTTTTTGCTCTGTATGTTTGGTAGCTTGCAATGCTAGGCTTTCGTTGTATTGAAAGTGATGCGAAGTTCCACTTCGCCTCCATGTTCAAAATTTTTATAGCCGAATTTTGTTGACTATTTTTGCGGCTCAACGGGCGACTGCTCATCTATCTATCTATCTATCTATCTTCTATCTATCTATCTATTATTTAATTGGCGTTTCATGTGACACATGTTTAAGAAGTCCCTATGTTGACATGTTTAAGAAAACTCTATCTTTTCATGTTTAAACTTTTCAACGTATTATTTTTTGCATGTTTAACGAAAGTGTTTTTTGCACGTTTAAGCTATATCGTATATTAAAACGCTCAAAACATTTCATTTAGCAGAGGTTTAAGAAGTCCTTATGCTGGTCTAATAAAAGGCCAAAACATGCAAGGGTTGAAAAGTTTACTCAAGTCAGCCTTTCGATTCTGATGGAGCTCGAATGCTTCAAAACTCTTTACATTTTTTCCTTTATGCGCAACGTATAACTATCACAGTTTTTCTTTCACAGATTACTTACATAATTTTGAATTTCGCAACCCCATAGTGGGGTGCTATCAGGGTACACTCAAGGACTGCAAATCTGGCGTCCAAGTATGACTGCTCAAATCCTTATGGTTTTCGAGATATGGCATTTTTTATGATTTTTCATTCTTTTTCTTTCAAAAAAATTAGATATAAAAAATTTAACCGAACTTGATTTTCTCAACCCTATAGTGGGGTCCTATCGGGGTACACTCAAGGGCTCCAAATCTAGCGTACAGGTACGACTGCTCAAATCCTTATGGTTTATCGAGATATGGCGTTTTTTAAGAGTTTTTCATTTTTTTTTCAAAAAACTTAGATATAAAAAAAATTAAACGAACTCGAATCTCTCAACCCTATAGTGGGGTATTATCGGGTACCCTCGAGGGCTGCGAATCTAGCGTCCAAGTATGACTGCTCAAATCATCATAGTTTTCGAGATATGGCCTTTTTTAAAAAAAAATTTCTTTTTTTTTTTTCAAAAAAATTAGATATAAAAAACTAACCGAACTTGAATTTTTCAACCCTATAGTGGGAGGCTATCGGGGTACACTCGATGGCTACAGATCTAGCGTCCAAGTATGACTGCTCAAATCATTATGATTTTCGAGATATGGCGTTTTTTAAGATTTTTCATTCTTTTTTTTTTCTTCAAAAAATTTAGATATAAAAAAGCTAATCGAACTTGAGCTTCTCAACCCTATAGTGGGGTGCTATCGGGGTACACTCGATGGCTACAAATCTAGCGTCCAAGTATAACTGCTCAAATTCTTATGGTTTTCGAGATATGGTCTTTTTATGATTTTTCATTTTATTCTCAAAAAACTTAGATATAAAAAATTTTACCGAACTTGATTTTCGATTTTCTCAACCCCCTATATTGGGGATCTATCGGAGTACGCTCAAGAGCTGCAAATCTAGCGTCAAAGTATGACTGCTCAAATCTGTAGGGTTTTCGAGATATAGCGTTTTTTATGATTTTTCTTATGATTTTATGATTTTTTCTATTATTTTTTTTCCAAAAAAGTTAGATATAAAAAAACTAACCGAACTTGAATCTCTCAACCCTATAGTGAGAGGCTATCGGGGTACACACGAGGGCTGCGAATCTAGCGTCCAAGTATGACTGCTCAAATCTTTTTGGTTTTCGAGATATGGAGTCTTTGCTATTTTTTTTACTTTATTTTTTCAAAAAACTTAGATATAAAAAAACTAATCGAACTTAAATTTCTCAACCCTTAACTGGGGTGCTATCGGGGTGATTTTGAGGACTGCAAATCTAGCGTCCAAGTATGACTGCTCAGATCCCCATGGTTTTTGAGATATGGCATTTTTTATGTTTTTTCATTCTTTTTTTTTCTTCAAAAAACTTAGATTTAAAAAATTTAACCGAACTTGATTTTCTCAACCATATAATGGGGTCCTATCGGGGTACACTAAAGGGCTCCAAATCTAGCGTCCAGGTACGACTGCTCAGATCCCCATGGTTTTCGAGATATGGCGTTTTTTATGATTTTTTCGTTTTTTTTTCAAAAAAATTAGATATAAAAAAGCTAACCGAACTTGAATCTCTCAACCGTATAGTGGGGTGCTATCGGGTCACACTCGATGGCTACAAATCTAGCGTTCAAGTATGACTACTCAAATCTTTATGGTTTTCGAGATATGGCCTTTTTATGATTTTTCATTTTATTCTCAAAAAACTAAGATATAAAAAAATTTGATTTTCGATTTTCTCAACCCCCTATATGGGGGCCCTATCGGAGTACGCTCAAGAGCTGTAAATCTAGCGTCAAAGTACGACTGCTCAAATCTGTATGGTTTTTGAGATATAGCGTTTTTTATGATTTTTTAAAATGATTTAATGAATTTTTTTTTAATGATTTTTTTTTCCAAAAAACTCAGATATAAAAAGAAACTAGCCGAATTAGAATTTCTCAACCCTAAATCGGGGTGCTATCAGTGTAGCCTCAAGAATTACAAATCTAGCGTCCAAATATGACTGCTCAAATCCTTATGGTTTTCGAGATATGGCGTTTTTTATGATATTTTCGTTTTTTTTTTCAAAAAACTTAGATATAAAAAAACTAACCGAACTTGGTTTTCTCAACCCTATAGTGGGGTCCTATCGGCGTACACTCCTGAGTTGCAAAAATCTAGCGTCCAAGTATGACTGCTCAAATCCTTATAGTTTTCGAGATACGGCGTTTTTTAAAATTTTTTCATTTTTTTTTTTCAAAAAACTTAGATATAAAAAAACTAACCAAACTTGAAATTCTCAACCCTATAGTGGGGTGCTATCAGGGTATCTTCAAAGGCTGCAAATCTAGCGTCAAAGTTTGACTGCTCAAATCTGTTTGGTTTTTGAGATATGGCTTTTCAAATAATTTTTCCTTTTTTTCCCAAAAAAATTTAGAGAAAAAAACTTTACCGAACTTGAATTTCTCAACCCTATAGTGAGGTGCTGTCAGGATACATTCAGGGGTTGGAAATCTGGTGTTCAAGTATGAGTGCTCAATTCTTTCATTTTTTGAGAATTATGGTTTGTCAGTTTTCTGAAGAATGGTTTTGTAGCACCGGAGGTGCGATTGACGCGCTAGTTTATTTTAATTGCTTTGTCACCGGCAGCTAAGTTTTGTATTGACGCTTAATTAACGCTGCTAAAATTTTTTTCTTGTAATTGACACATTTTCGTCAAATCAAATTTATTTCGAGACAAATGTATGGTTGATGTTTTTTCCGGATTTTTTCTCTTTTTTTTCGACTCCATGGCTTTCATGTCAGTTTTGTTTCGACTAGCTGCCATGTTACGTTATTTTTTGCTAGTGATTCGAAGCTCTGCTTCGCCTGTGTGTAAAATTGCGTTGTCAATACGCCTGATCTCACCAGAAATTTATTGTTGTTTGAGGAAATTAACTATTCCATCAAAACGTTTTCATCGTTTTAGGGGAACTACAGACCAAATTGGGCGAGCTAGTTGGCTACTCAGTCCGTTTCGAAGATGTCACAAGTCAGCATACGAAAATCAAATACGCGACTGATGGTATTATTCTGCGTGAGGCAATGTCAGACCCTTTACTTAAACGATATTCAGTCATAATCATCGACGAGGCTCATGAGCGTTCTCTTCAAACCGATATTTTATTAGGCGTTGTTAAAAAAGCACAACAAAAGCGGAAATCATTTGGCTACAGTTCAAGCATGGTACTGAAGGTAATAGTGATGTCAGCTACGTTATCGGTCGATCTTTTTTCTTCATATTTTGACGAGGCGCCTATTTTATACGTTCACGGCAGATTGCATCCGGTAACTACGTATAACATTTCTGAAGAAGAGGCCAAAGTTGAACAGGACTATCTTTGGAGGACGATGGTGGCAGTCGTGCAAGTTCACAGAGCTAATCCGAACGATGGAGATATTTTGGTGTTCTTGACCGGCGAGGAGGAAATCGAAAGTGCCGTGCGAACGTTGCGAGAAGTATCGAAGGTAAATTTGAGGGTTGTATCTTGTGAAGCTGAACAGCTTTTTTTGCATCTCTATCGTGTTATAGAAAGTAAAAAATAGGTCTGTTTGATCTCTGCCCTCTTTGGTACTATTCTATGACCTCAATATTTGGTCGATTCATCCTAAAATATCCAAAAAGTCTACTAAGACATCATTTTTTGAGCAATTGTTTTTCGAGACTTCGCCTAATATTGAGTCCTAACTCTGTCCCGAAAGTACAAGAATTGTTTTTCAAACCATTTTGCTCGTTTTCACAGCCTACCTACTTGTAATCAAGCCTCCGACATTTCCAAGACTCCCTTCTTTATAGCCTAATTGTTGTGATAAACTTATTAAATAGTTTCAGAGAGTGATGAAACACTAGTTGCCATTCTTTGGGCACTGACTACTAACTTCAGCATATTATCGTTGACACCAACAGCACCATTATTCCTGGCATTTTCCTGGCTTCACACAATGTCAACACCAATGCTTCTGATGCTGCCCGACGACTTCACGAAACTCAATCCCGAACAAAAAGATACGTACTACGTTCAAATATATAACCTTGTCAATGTACTAGCAACATCCAGTAATCCTCCAAACAGTAATCAAAACGCAAAAGGACTCAGAGCACCTATTGATTTTGCTGCCAAAGTAATCCCCACTGATACTCAAAACTTGATTATTGGTTCGAGTTTTTTAGCGGAGTTTGACACGAAGGAGCTGCTCAAAGACGTGGCCGTTCATTCTTACCGCGGGTCATTTTGCAGCGAGAAACAATCAGTTGTGAAAAAGTACGACGATACTGAGCTGAAATCAGTAACCTTCCAGGACGGCACCAATTCACTCACAAGGGAACTACACAAACCTGTAGATGATATATTTGAAACTTTTTGCGCCACCATTAGTGAAATTGAGACAAAGTTTTCACCTACAATAATCAATATATGCCAAGTCCCGCCTGTGAAATCGGGACCCGATTCTGTAAGTGGTAAACGTATAACTGAATTCAACAGCCTTATTGCTCATAAATTTAAGAAAAAAAAGTATCAAATTGTTCCTATATACGATAAAATTGTCAGCATAAACGACTATCAGTCAATCTTCTTTGATGAAGTACATTTGATGCGTTCTGTTAGTACTTTAAAAAATGCAATCATGGAAAAGGTGCTACCATTATCCAGCTTATCACCTCGAGTTGTTTCTCCGAATACTTCCAACTCTAGGGGCCCAGCGCACCCTCAGAGGAATCGTATGAAACCTGGTTCAAGCCAAGTCTCGTGGGGCCCCGAGCACCCAAAGAGTCTTGAGAGCCATGGTTTCAGCAACAATCAAACCTACAATTATATGAATACCAATCGTAGTAATTATGACTTACGCCATAATAGATACTATCCATACTAATGCTGTTTTAGTAGTCAATTACCCAATGATCTGGATCTATCAAATTTATGTTTAGCCAATGGCTTTTAAAGACTCTCCTAATTTTCTCCCTTTTAACTAGCATTCCCATTAAGTACAATGAACCCAACAGCACCGCACTACTCAAAACTAGAAACATGACGTCTAACCGCCACTTTAGATTCACAGCTGGCATCTATTGCGCAGTTGTGATACTAACCTTTCAGATTGGAATATTGGAAATCCTGCTTCTTCAATGTGGGGACATCGAAGTCAATCCAGGTCCCGCACTTTCATATGAAATCCTGGCAAACAAAGCAAAGGAACACCACAACTTCCTCAAATATATAACTCTAAATTGTAGAAGCATAAAGAACAAACACATGGAAATGCGTTACTTGTCAGAAATAGTTGACTCAAACACAATTATCGGTCTTACGGAAACCTGGCTTGACGAAACATGCGATCATCAAACTTATTCATTCTGCAAAACAACCCATGAAATTTTAAGATGCGACCGTAACAAAAAATGCACTGGTCAACACGCAGGTGGTGGTACTCTTCTTCTTATTCCGAAAAAATTTAACCCTAAGATTCGAGAAGATTTAAATTATCTACGTCCCTCCCATTTTGAAGGACTCTGGGTGGAATATAGCCCAATCATCTCAAAAAAATCAAAAAGACATAATTGCTATTGCCTACAATCCACACAAACAATTCAAGGAAATTTTTATAGAAGATACACTAAAGGGTATCGATTACGCTGCCTCCGAAGCGCGAGATGTTACGATTTTGGGAGATTTCAATATTAACTACTTGAATAAACATGAAGCTAAATTTCTCAGCGATTCTATTAAACCATACAATTTGTCAATAACCAATAAGTCGATACCGACATACAACTCTAAAAACAGCCAATCCATTTTAGATAACATTATAGCAACCAAATCTCTTTGTAAAGAAACTATTGTAGCAGAACCACCTATAAACACGGACCATTTAATAACAATGTGTATTAGCAAACTAAAACGATTCGAAAAAGCCATTCCAATTCGAACTTTTCGCTTCAATAAAACCAATTATTGTAAAAATAGGTTCTGCGAGGAACTTAAACAGAGTCCATGGTTTCTCGTCTACCAAGAAAACGATATCTCTAAAATGTTAATAAAATTTGAAGATATTTTCTCGCATGCCCTAAACGCTCACGCACCACTAGAGCAGAAGTATATCCGAAATAAACCGCCGCTACAGCTGTCTGGTAAAGTACTTAACTCAGTCAATAGACCATTAAAACAGGAAAAAGAAAATCTTCTAAAGGCATATCAATTATCAAGAACAGATGCCAATTTTGAAAACTATAAACGAATAAGAAATAAATACAACAATCATCTAAAACATTTATACAAGAAAGAGAAAACAGCTCAATTCAAAATGCTTGACTGTCCAAAAAAACAATGGAATTTCATAAACTCTATCAGGAACACCATGAAACAGGAACACGCAAACAGTCAACGCAAATAGGTGATCTACGGAATTCGTTTGGCGACACTATAATTGAAAATAAGAAGAAAGCAAATTTCCTTAACTACAGGTTCTCAACATTAGGAGAATACAAAAACGCAGATCCTCCCATAGATGTACCAACTGAGTACAGTGTACACAGCAAAACAAATAGGCACTTTCAATTCAGGTTCATAAGTCACAAAGAAATGAAAGATGCAATTTTATTACTTCCCTTAAACAAGCCATTAGGACCAAGCAAAATCCCTGCTTGGGCTCTAAAAGACAGCATTAATACTGTAAACCCAATTCTTACGATGATTATCAATGAATGCATCTCGAAATCCGTATTCCCATATACCTTAAAAAAGGCACACGTTTTTCCCATATTCAAAAAAGGCGACTCGACAGATCCAGTAAATTATCGTCCAATTTCTATTACACCCACTCTATCGAAGTTGTTTGAAAAAAATTTTTCATCCCAAATTCACGAATTCTTAGCAAATTCCAATATTCTAAATCCAAAACAATTTGGCTTTCGTCCAGGTTATTCAACTAATGATGCTCTTTTATACACAACAGAAAAAATCAGATTCCATCTCGATAAAAATAACATAGCAGCGGCTGCATTTCTTGATTTATCTAAAGCATTTGATTCACTCTCTCATTCAGTCCGTGAAAGGAAACTAAGTCACATTGGCTTTGAACAGTCAGCAACAACTCTTATTAAGTCATTTCTAGAAAACAGACAGCAATTGACAATAGTAAACGGCGAACACTCAGATTGGCTTAAATTAGAGCAAGGTGTTCCCCAAGGTACTGTACTAGGACCACTGCTGTTCAACTTGTATGTAAATGACTTACCACAAACAATAGACAAATCATGTACGTTAGTACAATATGCCGACGACACGACTCTGCTTAGTTTTCATTCAGATCCCGAAACAGCAACAAAGAGCATTGAAAACAATTTCAATAAAATTCTTTTGTATTTTCACTTAAATCGATTAATGATTAATGTAGACAAAACTCAGTTCATTGTATTTTCTGCACCGTCGAAAAAGAAACTAACTGAAAATCTTTCATTGAAAGTTGGAAACTATCAAGTTAATTTAACAGAGACAGTTAAATTTCTCGGCGTCAATATTGACATAAGCTTAACATTCGACAAAGAAATTAACAAAATTTTACAAAAAATGGCTACAGCAATCCAAACGATAAAATGCATCCGTGACGAAATCCCTCTGCGTACTAGAATTCTCCTGTTAAATACTCTTGTACTGAGCCATTTGCACTATCCATGCATGCTCTTAAACGGATGTACGCAAGATAATATTGAGAAACTCGAAAAACAAATAAAATGGGGAATCAGGATAATAATGAATATAAGCAAACGAGATTCCGTTACACTTCTAAGGAAACAGCACAAAATTCCTACTGCTCGGAATATTATCGAGTACCGATCAGCACACTACCTTCACAGGTTATGCCGAAACGATGCCCCAGCTTTCACGCATATAAGATTCCCAAATTCTGAATTCCGCTATAACCATCGAACTGGAACATTACTGTTCCCTTTAACATGTAAAACTGATTTCCTTCGTAAGTCTTTCTTATTTACATCAATCAGGAACCTTAACACAATAATCCGAACCTTGTTAAATCGAAAACTGCCGTACACATTGACAAAAACTCTGATTAAAAATTTCATCATAGGAAAAGATGACACCCTGTTACCCAATAAGGAGAGTCTTTCCGTATCCAAGGACATTTATTTTGTTAAATCAAATATTTGATTCAACCTCGTAGTAATTTATGTTTTTTCTTGTTATGTTATATAACCATTGCGTAATATTGTACACTAGATTCTTATACAATCAGTTCTGCAACTGCATAAGTATATTGAAACAATAAAGTGTCCCCTCTCTCTCTCTCTCTCTCTCTCTCTCTCTTCTTATATATCTTCTAACTATTTGTTTTCTTAAGTCTAAGGAGTGCATATTATTACTTCATTGGAGTTATCAGAAAAAAAAACAGATTTCTAGATTAGTGTCTACAATCTTTTTTTTTCATTTTGTAATATTGTTGTTATAACCCATATAAGTTAAAGTTGTTAGCCGAAGATTTGAAATTTTGGCTAAATGTGGCGAAGTTAGGGGAACGGCGTTGAAGTGGTAGCGTCTCCGCTTCTCAATCGAATTGTCGGATGTTCAAGACCCATCATAATCCGTGCTTATTGCTTGAGGGTAAGGTAACACCATCAAGCCTAGAAATATAACCAAAAAATAGTATGAAGTTCTTAATCAGGGCATGTAACGTAGTTCTATTGGCGTATGTTTGTTATTCAGTTTAAATTGCTGGTTGTATGATGAAACCGTTCTAAAATCTGCTTCAATTTTAAACTCCAGGCATCCTAAAACTTCATCATTCAGTTATGAGATTTCGCGTTTCATTGGG